CCAAGCCCACGCTCCGTTGCGGGGTGGCGAAAATGCCCTTGATGAAAATTTCCTAGAAAAGCAATAAACCTTCGCGTGCGGGCGCGAGCGGTTGCGATTGAAGGAAGAAAAACAACTTACCCAACGAGTACCGCCGAAGCGCGCGCCGCGCCGAATGAAAAAAACGGGGCTGTGGCCGCACAAATCCAGTGGCGTAAGGAATCGGCGCCCCATGGTTAGGGAAGGCTTCGCCCAAAATAGTTCCAAGGCAAAAAAATTCCGGCCGCAGCCCTCGTCGCGCTTCCCCGCTTGTAGAGGGGCCCGCTCTGCAGCGGAGAAAACCTGCCCCATTTGAACCCCAAATAAACGCGGAGGGAAAATGGGAAGAACTTGGGGGCTGCGGTCGGCGGTGTTATGAACGGCCGCCGGGGCTGGGGCCTTTGAACTTGGGTCGGGGTTTGGCTGTCACCGCCTCCCGGAGCCCGCCGTGGGCTTCGGTCTTTTTTTTTTTTTTTTCTTTGGGGGGGGGGGGAGACGTTTGTTTCTGGAAAACTGTCCTCCTTCATGCGCTTTCCCTTCTGAAGCTTCGTTGGGATTCAAACCTGGGCCCCCCCTCTGCGTTACTGGCTGCCGGGCTTTTGGGCCCGGGAGGGGCGGCAAAGACGCCGGGCGCTAAGGCCAACGCGGCCCCGATACCATCTCCGCGCCGCTCCTTGGGGAGCAACGGGGGTGGCTGCTTTTTCGTTTGTTTGAACGCTGATTTTTGTGTGCCTTGCGTTGCGTAAGGGCGTGTGGCCCGTTTAAAGGCTACCTTCTCAAGAACGAGTCTCTCGCATGCCACGCCCCGCGTGCCTTCCGCATTTCCTTGCGGCAAATCGGGGGCGGGCCATCACAAAGCGACAGGCGTCCAGCAGCGACTAGTGTATTCGACTCTGCAGTTCCATTTTTCTGTCGGCGCACGCGGCACCCCCGGCGGAGTGCCCTGGAGGTTTGAAATTGGGCGCGGGCGCCGTGGCAGCCGATTGTTTTATTGGAAACGGGTCGCTTTTTCCTTCTATTTTTTTTGATTGGCTCTTGGCTCTTGGCGGCCGGGGGCCCTCTTTCTGTACCGCGCGCGCCCGCGCTATTAAAAAGAAAGGCGCGCGCGCCAAATTGAAGTCGGGACGGCGCGCGGCTTTTGCTTCGGGCTCGTCCCGGGTGCCTTTGCGCGCTTCCTTTCCCGGTTGTGTTTTTCGGCGCCGCTGGCTTGCTTCGGGCGATGGCGCGGCGCGTTCGCGGTGGAACGGGGGGGAAGGGCCCCGCGGCGGAGTCGCGGGGCGGCCTTGATGGCGCGCTGCCTCCCGCCGCGGCCGCGGAACGGTCCGGCCCCGCCCCCGCCACAACGGCCCGCCTGCTTCCTCGCGCGGTGGTTTTGCAACTCGGAAGGGCGGACCTAAACAAGCGCGCCTCAAACCGCGCCAGGCGGCAGCGCCGCGCGCGAGCAGGCCGGTTTTCTGTGCTGTTCGAGGCGCGGGGGTGGGGCTCGCGTTGCGCGCAGCCCGCGGCGCTTCGGAGTCGCGCAGAACGGCCCTCCACGCCCTGCCGCCTTCCGTGCTGTGGTGCGTCGGGGCGCGGGCTTGGTTTGGCAGCTGGCGCGGCGGCCCCGGCGGAAGGGAAGGCGGCGGCGCTGCGCTGCGTGGGCTTTGCGGGGCGGCCGCCCTTCCCGCCGGCCCGCGGCCTTCTAACCTCAAACGGAAAAAAGCGGGGAAAAGAAGGCGTCTTCTTCGCCATGTCCGCGTAGGGGCCTGGGACAAATCCGCTCTGCCCCCGGTCCGGCAGGAGGCGGCGGCGCGGGGGCGCGGGGGGCGGCCTGTTTCCGCGAGCCAAACGCCGCGCCCGGGAGCGCAAGCAATCAAAAACAACGACAGCACGAAAAACGAGCTCCCGGCCCCGCACCGAGCGCGATTTCTCTTGTATATATTTATATATTTTTCATCCTTTTTTTGGGCTTCGCGCCCCTCTTCTCCCGGCGCACCTCCGCCCGCGCCCGCGTGGGGGGGAGGTGGGGGCCGACCGCCCGCCGGCGTTCCCGCGTGCGGTGCCTCCCTTTCCCTGCGGTGTGGGCGGTGCCGGGGCTAGCTTCCCGCGACGGGAGGGTGCGGGAGCGGCCCGCGGCAGGCGGGGTTCTCCCGGGGGCGCTTCTCGCCAGCCAGCGGCGAGGCAGCCCCCGCGCCCGAAAAACAAGGCAGCGCCCCGCCACGCATACCCTCCTCGCGCGGGCGCTCGGCCGGCTTCCCCCCGCGGGGTTCCGGAGGGCTTTGCGCGGGATCGCCCGCCCCCGGCCCGGGCGGAACGCGCGGGACCTCCCAAGCCCCCCCGGGGCGGCGGCCCAGGCGGCGAATGAACGCGACCAACGCCGCGCTGCTGCCCTCGCGTTGCGCCATCTTTCTCTATCCTCAGCGGCGAATGAAAGGCCTGGAAAAAAGAAAAAGACAACAACAGGGGTGCGGGGGACCTCGTTTCGGGAACCGCTCCTCTGCGCCCTGGCTTTTGCCGCCCGCCGCGCGAATCAAAAAAAAAATATCCCGGAAGGACGGGCGGCGGAAAGAAACACCAACCAAAAACATGGAAGAACGCCTCCCCCTGCACGCGCGGCGAAAAGGCATATGCGCGACGCGCGCGCCATCGCCGCGCTTCTTTCCTCGACGCGGGGCCCCAAACGCTCGCCCCCACCCGCGCCATCGCAAGGCGCGCGGCGCACGAAGCAAGTCACGCCCAGGGACTGTTTGGCCGCGTCCGACGGCAGCGCCCCACAAAGAACGACCACGCGATGACCGTGAAGCGGGCGCGGCGGAACCGGTGCCGGAGGTTCCTCGGCGCGATGTGTGCGCAGCGCCCGCGCCGCCCCCCCAACCCGTCCGCCACCGAGCGCGCGCCCGAGGCGGCCGCGCCGGCAGAATTCACGGCTCGGGCGGGGCAAGGCACGCG